GGACCACACAAACTGTTCTTTGGAGCTGCTTTCTCTCAGCTAGTTGCAAATGGTTGACCAGCTCCCACCTGAGGTGGGTAGGGTTGGGGGGGGGCATAGTTTCTTGCAGTACTGTTTTGTGGGAATTTGCTGTGCTGGAAAACTCAAAAGGTGAAGTCAGCAATGAAGTCAGGACTTGGTCCAGTATCACCTGTGTCCTACCTAGACTTTTGCTTCATCTGCTCAGGCTTAGGTGCCCCAATTTTACCTGATATCAAGCCACTTGACTAGGTGGGGGACATTATCAGGGACATAAAAAAATGATGTGTTCTGGAAGCAGCAGAGAAGAGGAGACAACTGGAGTGACTGTCTCAGCTCTGGGGTTGGGTTGAGGCAGGGCAGGTCTCAGCACAGCCTTGTCAAAACGGTTTCCTTGGTTGCTTTGCAGTGGCTTTGTCACTCATGGTCCTGCAAAAGGCTTGAAGATTGTAAAGGCTACGTGAAATTGCACATGGTAGCACCCGTCTTTGAGAGGACTAGGTGAAATCAGAAGATACGTTCCCTGGGAAAGTCTGCTGGGGCCACACCATGTTCAGCTTCCCTCCAACTTGGCTGGAAAAAGAAACATGGATTCCTCATATCCCAACATACCTGGGTCAAGCTCTGGAAATGCAGTGAGTCCACCGACCCACCCTCCCACTGGCCACATCCCTTTACCAGGGACATAGGGTCATGCTGGTGGTCCTTACTGCAGCCCAGCTGAAGTCATCAGGTGGCTCCTGACTGAGAGGTGGGACCGTCTCAGGTCCATGAATGTTGCTCTGTTTTGGAGGCAGGGGTCAGGTCGCTGCGGAAGCAGTGGGATTTCTACTTCTCCACCATTCAGGACTCAGTGGTATGTTGGAACAAGGGATGCATTGTCCAGGTAGAAAGTTGCAAGGATGTAGGATCTTTTTACATCCTCTATTCCAGTAGCCTGCTTTTTTTATTTTTTATTTTTTATTTTTTAATGTCGATCCTAAATAAGCAAGAGTATGTTGGAGGGAGAAAGTAGGTTTTTCAGGAGTAACTGTAAGGGAGAGCCCAAGGGTGCAGGATTTGTGTGTGGGTAGGGGGCCTCTCCCTGTAGGGGCTTACACCAAGGGAAGGAAAACCAGGGTGGAGTCAACAGGAGATGAGAAACAGTCCAGCACTTATACAAAGAGCCAATATTGATACAGATGACAAGGCAGCGTGCTTGAGATAATGGTGCGGCTGAGACTGACAGCCGTGGGAAGGAGGAAATAAAAGAGATTCTTTTTTTATATTGGCTGGCTCTTTCTGCCTGTGAATTAAGAGTCTGGATCTGAATTAAATACCAGGGGAATGGGAGCTGCGTGGGGGAAGAATCGGATCGGTTTGAACCACCACTGTGCAGAAACAATGAACAAGGGATCTCAAACCCGGGAATTTCACCCCTCCCTGCTCTTTCAGATGCATTTAATAATATTCTCCTTTGTGTTCCTGCCTAGTGTAGTGTCACCTTGAGCCTCTTTTGCTGTTGTTTCCCATCCCCTGGTTTACAGGCTGGCAGAGTGGCTTGTGGTCCTTAATTCAGTTTCCAGTGGACACGGGTTTCTTCAGACTGACGGAGAAATGAGAGCACAGCCGTGTGTGCTGCTTGTTTAATGTTGGCGATTGCAGGCCAGTCAGCATGCTACTGTTAAGAGTATGGCTGGGGACTGTGTTTGAGGTGTTAATTAGCAGCAATTAATAAGAAGTGAAAAATTAATACCCTATGTAAGCTTTCTTTGCTAGTTAGTTATATCAACACCAAGGCTCAGAGCTGTCTTGAAGCTTATGTTTGCATAAGAGTTTGGTCTTGTTGACACATAGTATTGGGAAAATACTTAAATGCTTTCCTACCATAAACGGTAAACTAGTTAATTCCCAAAATAAGAAGATAAGCTACAGCCTTTGACAGATTCAGTTTTCTTGGGATGGGGATGCTCTCGACATGACGTTTCAAAAACAGTAAGTTGTGGGTAGCTTAAGCAAAAAATACATTAAAATAGAGTTAAACAAAAATGTCGATGACATCGCTGAATATGGCTAAGAGATTCTGCATTGGCTCCTCTTAATCAAAGTGGGCTCAAGCCCAGCCCTAGATGTGGCCACCAAGGGTGGATTCCAGCCGTGTTGCAGGCACTATCCAGGTTCCCATCCATTTTCCATTTCTGATGGGAAGTTCCTTGACCCAGGGGAACGGGCCTTTCTCATGGATCTGGTGGCAGATTTGGGGCTTGACTGCGTAAGAAACAGCAAATACTCTCATTGTCTGATTGGACACTTTTATCAGCTCATAACTTTGTCTTATCAGCATCATATCACAAGATTTAACTACACCACCAAGAGGCTTATCTTTCTTCTTGGTATTTATATCATTATCCTTGAGTTTTGTTTAAGATGATTGATTTTTTTGTGTGTGTGTTTAAATTGATTTCTCTGTTTCTTTCTGTCCTTTGAATTTTTTTTTTTTTTTAATAGACTCAGATTACATGGTCTGGTCCTAGGCAAAAATGAAAACGGGTGAATCCACCCAGGGTTTAGCTTCATCTGACACCTACCCTCCTCTCACATTTAACAATCTTGATGTAAAATCCCGATAGTTAACCAATTTATTATTAATGATATTTACGGAAGTATTCTCTACCAAAGGAGAAGTGTTTTTTGACTCGCAGTAGACTGATTGCTTCTAGTTTCATAGTTAATTGAAACTTAATATACACCGGGGATGAGTGATACATATATTCTGAGGTTAGCTGCACTCAAAATACTCATAGTATATAATACGCATTAGCAAGTCTCATGTCAACAAAGAATAAAGATGAAGTGCTGTAGTGGCCATCACAGTGGGGAAGTGATCATTATTATTTGTGGAGTGCTTGAAGTATACTAAGCACTTTGCAAAGAGACCAACAAGCATATTGCTCTGAATTGGTTTACGGTCTCTTTTTTTTTAAGAAATATTTTTTTTTTTTGTTTCATTAGCAGGGTCCTTTGGGGTGGGGAACACAAATAGCTGATGGTGATCTAAGTTTGCCCAGACAACCTTCAGTTGGGTGTTGTATCACCTGCTTTGTGAAGCACCCGCAGTTTTAGCATGGTTTAACTGCAGTCACCACGATGCTTTTGTGATTGCTCCAGCAGACAGTCCCACCATGGCTTGGTTAATGGATATCCCACTTAAACTTGACATGCTCCTCGTCTTTTTCAGTTCCTCCCTCCTATAACTGCTCACACATGTCCATTTCTTCCTCACAATTTTCATTGGAACGGCCTTAAAAACTGGGAATGAAAAATCTATGACAGAACACTCTCCCTCTTTCTGTTTTATCACCACCATATCTGGTCTTCCTGAATATGCCTCCTGAGCAGTAAAAGTTGAAAAAATCCCATAATATTTTTACAATCTTATTACCTCCTGCTTTGCTTGGCCTCTGGCAGTAAACTTTTTTCCTACTTACAGTCACGATTCTTGCAGAGCATTTGGCGCCGATGCTGCCAGCATAGTCCTCTCTGTCATGCAGGTCTTGGAGGCATCCACTAATAAGCAGGACCAGTCCTCCACATCGTATATTCTGGACACACACTTTCCCTACTATCTGTCTTTGCTTTAGCATATCTTGTGTGAATAGCTGGTTCCCTCTGTGCCCATAACCCAAGCTCTTGGTTTCTCCTTTTCAGTCCTCCTTTGACACCTCATAATTCATCACCATCTCAGGGAGTTTTACTGAAAAGCTCACTCTGGAGTTGTTCTTAATCTACTCCTAAAGGTGTATCTCTGGGCGTTGCTTGCCTGGTGGCTTACCGTAGCTAGAAAACAGTTGTTATTTAGTCTGGTGTCTGATTCAAGATCTAGTCAGTCTCTATTCCTTTTCTCATATCATTTTTCATCTCTGCGTGTTTTTATTCCACTTTGTATTTACTGTGGTCATTCCTTCTAGAATAATCTCCTCTGCCAACAGAGTGCAATCTATACCTGAGTATTTGCTACCCTGTATGGTACTAACTGGTGCAGTTACCTCAGGTCAGTCTTCATTTGAAAAACAGTTTGCAGCCAGCACAACTGCATAAGGGTATCTGTATTTTGCATGCTGAACTTTATTTTCTAGAGTTTTTCTAGGCTCTCCCCAGCATTCTCCCTTCAGTGCTTCCTGTTTATGTTATCAGAAATATCCCCCTTTGGGAGTTTGAATATTTATGGAGTGAGATACAGTGTTATCCATCAAAAAGTTGGATGCCCAGAGCTGGACTTGTTGGAGTATGGTTGAGTTGGCCTTTCTTGGGTGCCTTATTGGCATGGGTTATGCCACTTTATGGACTAGTCCTTCCCTCTCTGTTGGTGATACAGGGAGCTGGACTTTGAGATGTGAATCCCTTGTGTTGAATACTGTGGATGTAGTTTATTACCTCACTAGCTTTTATGTTGTTATTGCTGCTTCTGTATTATTGCCACTAAGGGGAGATGTCTTTTGTTGCAGCTCCTCATCCAACTCTAGCTTCACCTTGGAGGAGAGAGCAGGATCAAAGAGTTACAATCAACATGGGATAACTTGAAAACCATTCGGAAAGGCTGAGGGAATGAGTTGGTGTAGGTGAAACAAATCACTCATTGTTTTTTTCATTTCTTCTAGAGGTTTTTGTCCTCTAGGTACTCCCTGCTGCAGGATGAATTAGGAAGGCAAGGCCTCTTCCTCTGAACCATGGAGACAAGGGCATCTTTCATCACCACCATGCAAGAGACCCAGCATCTCTCCCCAGAGAAGGGTCAGAGCCTGGCCAACGGCAGCATGGAGCAGTTTGATTCAGGTGAGCTCTCCTTCACCCCCGTGGGTTGTCTTCACTGGTACAGCCCTCCAGCAGGTCTTGGGTAGGGGTGGGGAGAGCCATGTCATCAGGGGAACATTGGGAATGATTGTACAGCTTGAAGGCCTTTTTTGGGTCTTATGGGTTAGACTGTGTCCCATGGGTGATGGGTTAAAAAATGTGAGCTTTTTTTTTTTCTTTTTTTTTCTGGATCTCTTCTACAGTTTGTAGCAGCTATTCAAAATTTAAACAAAAAAAAATAAGGAAAACCTTTCCCAGGACATCATATCATGTTCTTCCTGTTTCTCCACCCTTTTTTACTTTGTTGGAGTTTCGTGGTTAAAGGGAGGAAATGGCCATTCAGAAATTACAGTATTTCTCCCTTGTTTTGACCTTTCACTCTCACTTCCTCCAGAATTTTTTGAGTGCTTCAGGTGAGAGGGTTTCACAAACATTAGACCGGGCAGCATGTAGTCCTTACTAATCCATACTAATTCGTATGACTGGATGCTCTGGGATAGGCACCTAAAGGTGAGGATTCACTATGCTAAATTTGGGCATTGTCATGGTAGATACAGAAAAATAAGTGCTAGCTTCTGGTGATTTCTTCTGGAATTAGGTGCTTTAACTTCCCATAAGGAGACTGTATCTTATGGTGGAGTTGCACATTAATGCTAGACCCAATCTACTTTCTTTCTGATGCCAAACTGGGAGACCCGTCTTTATATCAGCTCTTCTCTTGCACCACCTCAGCTGCCCATCACACCCTGAGCTGACTCACTAACACAGCAGAAAGGTAATTAAAAAGCCAATAGTTTTCTGCCAGCTTTGTGAGATGAACTGGCTGGAGGAAGAGGGAGGGCCAGAGCACATGTTGGTGGGAATGGGACCTATCCCAGTGGCATGGAATTACTAATTTGGCTCAGCTGTCACTTGTAACTTCATCCTTGCTCTGTGTTTGCATGGGAAAGCTCAACTGATGAACTTGTGGGGAACAACACTGAGCTATCGCTCAGTTAATCTATACACAGTTTGCGTTGTGGTACTTGTGTTGGTGCTCATATGCTTGAATGCTTTTCCAGACTTTGCTAGCATTTCTGTAAGAGCTATTATTGATAAAAGGATCCTAAGATGCAAACGGCAGATGAGTCTGTGCTTGCAGATGGGCCTCCTGAAGGGATGTGTTGAGTCTACTTCCGTGGACATAGGTGCCCTCTCCAGTGGTGAATCACGGATTCAACGCTCCTCAGAAGCAATGGTAGCAGTGTTGGGGGAACTGCTTTAAAACTCCGCATGCTTTGCCTTCGGTGTCTTTTGCATTTTTTTCTCTCCAGTGGTGCTGTTTGTTTTGTTGGTCAGCGCTGTGCTGAAGTTCTTTGCAAATCTGTGTCTTTCTGCTTTTCATGTTTCTCCCTCAGCACCTCAGAAATTTGGCCACGCCAGCCTTTAGTTTCTTGACTTCTAGTAGTGACTCGGTGATTTTCCTATTTCCATGGACACCATTGGAAGGCTGTGATGGGTCTTTGAATCTTTGCCACGTTTTGCTAATGAGTTGAGGGTGGGGAGAAGACTCACAGCAATGTGAGACCACACCAGTTAAACTGTGAGCTGTGGTCCTTGAGGTGACTTTTTTAGGGTGAGGTGTGTTGCACAAGCCCTCGTGCAATGCAACCATCTTCTGCAACTTTTACCATGTAAATAATAAAGAAGAGTGGGACATTTGGCCTGCAGGTTGACACTGACCACCTGGGCAGCTTTTAGCAAGCAACTGCATTATGCTTATGCAACTGAAATGGAAATGTGGGTGGGCTTTCAAGAGGTCAGCAGCAGTAGGGAGAAGTGAGAGGACTGTCCTATACAAAATCCAAACTGACTGTGTTGCACTGAAAACGTGTTTGAAATGTGGGGCAGTCCAATTGGTCTTGCCGTGATGGTTGTAGATTTAACGGGGCTCTTAAGTTCTGCATGTTAGGTCGGACACAGAGAATTGGAAACTTTCCTGTGCAGTGGGATTGTTAGCCCAGCCATAGTTTTGGGATTTTTTTCCCATGGCGTATGCAGTGGTTCTGACTCTTTCAGGTGGCTTCAAAGGGAAATTGGACATGCTTAAGGAAGAAAGATGCAGTGTACTAACTGCTTAGAAACCATGTTTGTCTCACGGAAATCCCTGAACCAGAAATAGTTGAATAATAGGAACTTACCTGTTGGGGGATCATAGATGGTTACCCTCATCTAACGGATGTCTCTAGGTGTCCAGGAGGAGGCAACTCATACAAGAAAAGTGCACTGTCTCTGTGTGAAATGGAGGATGTATAGGTATGGAGGGGTTGTGATGAGAAACATGGATTCAGCCATCTAAAGAAAGCTGGACACTCTTGTGTTGCCTTAGGTAAGAACATATTACCCAGGATTCTCCCATAGACATGAAAGAGAAAGACCCTTCCTTCTGTAGTGTGACTCATAGAGGTGGCTACTGAGGGTACTCTAGAGTTAAGCATCTGAATCTGGAGCTGAGGTGCCTTAAAACACCTTACAAAACCTAGTCATCTGATGCTGTCTGTATCACCAGTGAAGAGAAAGATACAGGTCCAGAAAGCAAGTCATCCCATTTTAACATGGGTGCCGGGTTGCCTTTGGGTTGAGTTGCCATCTGGAGCTGTCTCTTTCTCCCCGCTGAGGATGAGGGGAGCTAACCCTGACTGGAGCAGAGGGGAACATCTCAATCCTTGTTGCTCACGAGATGCAGACCCCTCTCTTGAGGTGGGATTCATGTCCTCTAATTCAGACATTTCCAGAGTGGACACCTGCAGCCTGATCTAGTCACCATTTATATCCATGGGAGAGAGGTAGAAGCCTCTAGGATGAGATTCAGTTGGCCAACCACGGATGTTGGTTTTCAAATGAGAACTGGCTGAATTTCTTTGGGGATATGGATCTTGGTGACTCTCCCAAGGCTGTGCTAGAAGTTTGCAGTTGAGTGGGTTCCCCACCCTGCCTCGCTTGATGGGTTAACTGTTAAAGTGTTTCGGTTCTCTGTTCACTCAAAAAGTCACGGATGTCTCTATGTGCTAAATAAGTTGACTAAGAAATTTGCCACAAATATGTTCTCCTTCATTGAAGCCTGAGAAAAATCTGTGTTTCTGGAGCCACGGGTTTTGGGTTTTTAATCCCCTTTATTTCCCATAGCCAGACATCCCGGGAGGCTGTTAACAGCTGGAACAGTTGCATTTTTATAGTGTCTATGCACGAGCACTTTAAAGCTATTGAGAGGCTCACAGATAATGACTTGTTGATTTTATTTGCCATCCTGGGCTTGTTTATACATCGCCGTATTGTAGGCTAGCCAGCCTTGACTCTTTCATTAAGAAAGAGCACTGGGCTTAAGTACTAATAATTGGAAAGGGAGCTGATATGTAAAATAGGCCTAATGCCAAATTTATCATCTCACAGGGCACTCTGTGAAATGTTGGCACCTGGGGTTTTGCAGCTCTCCGGCAGAGCCAGGACTTTGTTCTTGGAGTGCGTGACTAGTAGGGATGAACAGATCGGCTTTGTGATAGCTGCTTCTCAAGTGGGCACAATCTTTGTTGTCATATACTAAGAAACTTTGCATTTCTCTGTCTGCCTCTTAATTTGGGGGATTTCCAGGCAATTGAGAGTGGTGTCCTTTGCTTCTCAGCAGTAGGGCTTTTCTGATCAATGAGGAAATTTGTGCACAGCCCTGTTATGTGTGTGGATGGAGTTGGGTCCCTTGGGCTGGTCTCATCCCTGGACCACCCTGTCTCTACTCTGGATGCCCCCCTGACAGATTTCTAGAAGGGAACAAAGTCTATTAAAAAAAAAAAAAAAAATTTGGAAATTCACAGTCCATTCAAAGTCCTTTGTGATAAACCAAAACAAAATAAAACACTGATGCTGTGATGAGTACTCTGACATTATTTTACAGACCTTGTAAAAGTAATTTCCTGATAAAGTCTGCAGGTAGAACACTGTAGAGGAGTCATACTTGTGATGTGTCAGAGAGAAATGAACTGACAGGGAGGGAAGGCTGCAGCTCTCGTGCAGCCTCCCCCTAGGGTCTTGACGACTCTATTTGGGTTTAGAAAGGAGAGATCTAGGTGATATTTTTTCAAACAGGTGCTGTTGTGCGTTTTGCTGGACTGCATGTGAATGAACCTGCTGGTGAGGTTGCGGGAACATTGGGAATATTGAATCTCTCTGTGTTGGCAGGTGGCAGGTCACGGGTAATAACGTTAGGAAGTGTAGGAGGACTTGTTACATCCATAACTAGCATCTGTAATGCTAACATAATTAATGTGCTGTTGCCAAATTCTGGAGACAGTTTTGCCACCCTGGAAACGTTGATCCCTGCAAGGGCTGGAGGTTATCTACTGAACTGCATAAAAATCTTTGCTTTCGTTGCTCTGTGGAATGACTCCTAACCATAGGACTACCAAGGAGGGCTGGAGAAAAAGAGACGCTTGCCTGGACTCACCCAGCAGGTTAGAGCCAAAAGCAGGAATAAAACCTGAGAAAATACAGACAGCATCATGTGCTGAGGGAAGTGCCTCAAGCATTGAAATAGAAGTGTCTGAGCAGGAGAGAGGAAAAGGAAACGTCCTGTCCGTGTCAGATGTCCTGAGATGAAGATGTCCTTGTGGTTCTTGAGCAGCCCATGCTAACACCACAGGTGTAGATGGATGCAGAGGTAGGGAGCAAACAGGCAGAAGTTTTAGCTTTTCATGTCAGATGGTTCTGAGTTTTAATGGGACAGGGTTCGGTTGTACTCGGGGTAAAAAGTTGCTTAGGCACTGGAGAAATTCTAAGCCTGGGTTGGATAACCATATCTGCCCACCTACTCACAGACTAACATAGTTTATTTTAGAGTCTCAGCCTTTGAAATCTCTGGACCTGCCTCTTCTCTAAAACATTAACTCCCCAGGGTTGCAGACATGAAGGCTGAAAAATTTCCCTGATGATCTAAGTTGCCTGCCTGTGTGATACAGATAAAGGAAACTCTTAGCAATTTTTGCACCAAGCTCCTACCTTGTGGTTAAGCTGTGGCTTATCTTTCAGTCAAGAATGAACAAACCCCTCATTTTAGGTCAAATATCTCAAGTAGAGCCAGCTTCTATGCCGGGAGGTTTTTGCAAGATTTGCAAGAAACAAAACAAAGCTCATCCCTTATTCTACATTGAATTTGTGTATTTTCAGGTTGTAATCACGGGGTTGGGTTATTTCTTGTCTTGCTGCGTTGAAAAGTCATCTGGTAGCCACTTTATCACAGGAGTAAGTGTTGATTTACATCTCCATATTTAAGCAGGTTATTTGAGTTTAAGGCAAGGAACCAGACCTTAGACTTGATGCAGCAAAGTGTTTAACAGCACAGACAGCTCAGTGCTTGTCTTTGAACTCCCAGACAGATCTTTACCCTCCACCAGCTCTGTCTCAAAAACCTTCTTCTGATCCACTTTCTTCCCCTTGCCGGTGTATATCTGGCTCCATGGCCAGCAAATAAAACCTGTGTTTTCCCCTTCTAATAATAAGAGATGCCCATTGCACAGCATAATTTTCTGGTCCTGAAAACTGAAGACCTGTAGCAATAATTGCAATAAATTAACCGTGCCGTTTTCTTCATAAAACTGTCTGGGGAGGTTTCTTAATTCAGTTTGTCGTGAGTCACTTTAATTACATCATGACCACGCTGATGAATGTTTGGGCAGGTAAGGGTCTCGCAGAGTTTGCCTGATAAATGCTTATTGCGAAGAGCTCATTGCTAGACTGTAAATATTTTTGCTCTGGGGATGAAACTGGGTTTGTGAGATTGCTTGGGAACAAAATGAAAACAATCAGATTTGGCTGATTTTCTGTAAGTGAAAGAAGATTTATTTTTAATTATTGTGTGTGTTTCAGCAATGGTTTGAGGCCTCGGCTCATCTCTACTCAGTGCAGTTATAAAGCAAAAATAAATAAAAGAAAGAGTCGTAATGTCAAGTCCTTCGCTGTGGGGAAGGATCATGTGGGGCAGCGGTGTGGATAGGCGCGGCATGATGCAGAGCTCCAGATCTGAAATGGGTCAAGGACAAATTCAGGGAGCAGGAAGGCAACAGTGGTCTGGTGAGGGGTGCTGGAGGATTTGGGGGAAAGCAGAGGTAGTCTTGTTGGAAGAGGGAGGCATGGGGGCCTTGACTGGTGTTTCTGGGTGGAGGGATGCTGAGGAAGGAGAGAAAGGGTGGCAGGACTGAAAATGGGGCTCCCCAGCCCCAGGGGTTGGCGTGTTTGCTTTACATACAGCCAACAGCAGCAAGTTCTAATACTGCTAGGACACTGCTCTGATTAGCAGTGCTGGGTGACCCACTGTTGGACCCTTTGTACCCTTGTGTTAGTGGGCAGGCAGCCACCTCCTTTGCAGCAAGAGAGTCATCAAATACAAAATAAAAGAGCACAAGTGCCTGTTGCGGTACGATGCGTTTGTTTCCCACTGCCATGAAAGCGGAGTCATTTCTGGTCTTAAAGTGTTGGCTCCTGAAGTCCTAAAGTCTGCTGAAAGTGTGTTGAGAGCTGGTCAGAGCAGCTCAGCACAGATCTTTAAAAAAAGCTTTCTGGCTTTGCTTGTGTTGATGTTGATACTGGTTGCTATTCTCACCCTGAACTGTTTGACACAACTTTTGCCTTCTTTGGCTGTGTTTTAGGCTGCTTTTCTTTCCTTTTTTTTTTTTTTTTTTTCTTTTGAACAGATGAAGGCTCCAGCATTGAGGATGCAGACTTCAACTGGGATGAGTTCCTGGAGGAAACCGGAGCCAGTGCTGCTCCCCACACTTCCTTCAAACACGTACGTGCTTTGTCTGAGCCTCGTGGGCATTGCACGCGTTCCCTCTTCTGGTTTTCAGGGGGTCCCTGGAGAAGTGAAATGGGGTCTGACCGTTTTGGGGAGAAATTTTCACTCTGTGCATGTTGCAACCTGTGTAGGAATGGGCCCCCATCTGGTATTAGGTGAACTCGGTGTGTTTGCACCATCTGCAGTCACAGGTTTGAGCACTGTCTATGCCATGCCTTGGGTTCAAATTTTCCATTTTTGAGGGCTTTTGTTGCCCTCCTTTGGCTTCTAATGCACTCTTTTTTTTTCTCCATGTATTTTTTCTTCTCTATTCATTGATGTCCATCTCAACCTGTAGAGATTCATCTCACAAGAGTGCCTTATTTCTCCAGAGCTGTCCTCATTGCATGATTTACTGACTAGCAGGGTCACTCAGCACTAGAGCCCAGCATAGCCCATAGGAAACCATCTCTTGGTCTCCTGCCTGGAGACGCTGTCTCAGGATAACCAGGTACCTGGGTAGGTGATACTCTTCTTAGGTGTACATGGCTCCTACAGACAGTGATGGTAGTGTCTGTGGCTCTGGTCCATGTTAGTGCACGTAGCATTCGAAGTGTCTGAAATCTTGACTGATGAAGATCAGAGCATGCTTTGAAGAAAGGACTTTGTCTCCAAGCAGAGCCCATCACAGTCAAGGATATTGTTTGGGACCAGCTTCTCCATTAACCACCAGTTGTTTAACTGCTTCTGTTCAGCTCTGTGTGCATGATGTCACATCAGGATGTGGGACAGAAAGGAAGCTGATGTACGAGCTCATCATCAGTCAAGTGCATGCACGTGTGGCCACGTTGGCAGGTTTTTCCAGGAGATCTTTTCTCATTCATTCCCAAGACTGTGCTGTCGGTGATGTTGGGGTCTGGTGGGAAGGTGTTGTGATGCCTTCATCTGTGTCAAGCCATGACGAGTCATCGTGGTTCTCTGTCCTCAGCTGCAACTCTCGTGAGGATAGTGCTGCTCACCCTCCTTACCTGACCCATCAGGTGTAGGTAGCAGCCTGTTCTGCTACAGTTGCTCATCAGTCACAGCGGCTCTTCTCCCAGCTTCCCTTGGCTGGCCTGTGTGCTCTGGAGGATGTGGACATCTTTGACAGGAAGAGAGGGGTTTTAGCTATTATGATGCTCTGGGTCGTTTTACACTGAGTCTGTTTGCTGGCAGAGATGTCCTTTGGGAGCAGCGTAGTTGTGCTGCAGTGAGAAAGCTTCCTGAAGAACCTGTTGCTGCTTTAACAGAACTCTTTATTCGGATGACTGCTGGCCTGCCATTAAACCACCTTTGTCTCCAGGTGATTTCTTGGCTTGTTTTGAAGGGGTAAGGAGCTGCAATGATGAAAAACCATTTTGATCTACATCTGAAAAAATAATACAATCCTCCATTTCCTATTTTGCTTCTATTTTAACAGCTGGAGTATTGCATAATTCTCTATACTGGACAATTGCAGGGCAATGCTTATTGTAGAGTTTGTCCTTGATCCAGCAGCTGTCTGGAGCAAGCATCTTGTCCCAGGTTTCTGCTGTAGGGCCCAACCCAAATACCAGATCCAGGTGAAAGTTTTGTGCTTCATGAAGCCATTAAGGATGTCTCTAGGTGTCTGGAGATGCCCACCTCATCCTGCTGATTGTGCCTGTGATGGTGTCTCACAGCACCTCAGTTCTGGGACTGTACATATGAGACAGGTTAATACTGGGAATAGTTCTTAGTGACTATGTTTCACAGTCTGAAACTTGATCCTCAAAAAAACCCTGGGTTGGCCAGGAACCATCACATAAGATGATATTATCTGTCTGTTTGATGCCACTCTTCATGTGATTTCCAGTCACAAGTCCCTTCCCACCAGAATACACCTTTTGTCTTTACTTATAGTGAGCACAAGGAGAAAAACAACAAATGAACATCTGTCCTGGATTATTTATGAGGACCCTTAGTGTCACAGATAAGATCCTGTTTTATGACCAAATACAGTAGTAACGTCCCAGACCTTCAATCTTAGACCATCTCCGAAGGTTCCTTTCAACCTCAACTATTTTCTGGCTCCAGGCACTGATGCTGGTGGAAGTGCCCACACAAGCAAAGGTACATGGAGTACACCTTTAAATGGCTTTGGCTGGGCAGGACTCATGTCATAAACTGTAGTGGGATGAGTGAGGTAGTACTGCTGACACGCCAGAGGAGTGCTTTCTCTGCAACTTGGCATCCCCAAGTCTGTGAAGTCCTCAGGAGGCCAAGTAGACCATATTATATTTATCTCTGTGAGGAAAAGTGGCATTTTAACCTGTCATTTAAATGAGAAGTTAATCGGAGACAGGCTTAAATCAGGCTTTGTAATCTGTCTGGTTTCAGTAGCAGATAAGGTACTAAGAAACCTGTAAGAACCTGCCCTTAAGCATCTCGTATGGCGTAACAGGCTACGGTTTGAGTGGTTTTCTGAAGACAAGCCTGGCATCTGAACCAGTGGATCAGCATCCACCTCTTCTTTAACAACAGCCGCTAGAGACATCCCGCACCGCCATGCGGTGTGCCCACAGCAGGCACTAGTGTTTAACTGCAGTCTCTGCAGTGTCCTAGAAGGGATGCGCTGGCATCTACAGTGTCCGAAGGCAAGTCATGTGTGACCTGTCACTGGTTAGATAAATGGAAGTGACATCTCCATCAGATGGCAAGAGAGTGACTCAAACCATTTGCTTCTTTCAGCAATGGACCATCACACCTTATTTACCAGGGTGCTGGGAGAGTGAATAGGTTGAGGCTTGAGCTGGTGGGTATAGATTTAGTGAAAATGCTCTCCTTGGTCTGCCTGGTACAGCGTTCAGCCTTTGATGATTGTGAAGCCTGGAGAGATGGCTTCAGCGTTGTTGTACTACTAATTGTAGTTGGGTTTGACTCCTAGAGGTGCTTAGTACCTGCCTTTCTCCTTTGCATGTGTCCTGTGATTTGCCTGATGGAGCTGTGCAGTGGGAAACGCAACTTCGCTTGAGTTAAACTGACTTTTCCCAGGCATTAGTGAGATCTGTGATGCTAAGGTGGGGACCAGTCCTCTCAGATGTAATGCAGCTGAGGTTACTGCTGCTGGAAGGCCTCTTTAGAGCATTCAGGACCTTGCATGATGGGGTATATGCCTATGAATTAGGAATGGCCCTGCCCAGACAGATTGTAAAGGAGGTGGTTGGATTAAGGAGCACAATCAAATCATCTTATCCCAGAGCTGCTCTTTAAAGGCAGCATGATCTTGCTTAGCTGGGGAGGGGTGGTCTCCCTGCAAAGAAGAAAAGGTGACAACATGCCTTTCTCATTTTGTAAGGTGGAAATCAGCCTTCAAAGTAGTTTCCAACCAGGGATGAAATTAGAAGTGGCCAACAAGAGCAATCCGGACACATACTGGGTGGCTACGATCATCACAACGTGTGGACAGCTCTTACTGCTTCGTTACTGTGGCTATGGAGATGACCGCAGGGCGGATTTCTGGTGTGACGTGATGACGGCGGATCTTCACCCGGTTGGCTGGTGTACACAGAATAACAAGGTCCTGATGCCTCCAGATGGTGAGTTCTGTGTGTTTTGTTAAGAGTCGTGCTCTAGTATTGGGCACTGGAAGGGGTGCTCCAGATCCTGCACAGGTGTTGGGTGGTGCAGTCAGGGTCGGGTCCCCACGGGTCAGTGGGAGGTTCAGTTTGCCAGTCAGCCTCTAGCGAAGACATTTTTTGCTGTAGTTGGTAACAACAGAAGGCACTTCTGTAGGAAGCTGTCTTAACAAGGAAGCTTACTGCTAAATTGTAAAGCTGTGATTTTCAGTTAAGGGAGAAAATTGTCCTGTTCTTTGTAGGAAGAAAGGATGAAATTCAGAGTGAGAACAAACTAAAATAAGCAAGATCGGTTTGGGTGTAACCAAAAGCAGAAGTTGGCTGTGCACTCAAGTGTTTTCCCCCGAAAGTTTAAAACCTTCCATTGCCAGATTCCTGCAGCTTTTAACTCCAATGGTAGATACATGTGATTAAAGATAGCAAAATTTGGTCATCATAGGTTAGGATATTGCCTGATGATCAGCTCTTTGGTGCATAAAAGCTGGATGCAAGAGCTGGGGGTTACTGAGTAGCCCATGTGGAACAGTTTGTTAACAATACAGTTTGATTCCCAGTGTGTAAGCAAAATGGGGCTTTTTGGCTGTGTACATCAACAGAACAGCTGTGTATCCTTACCACTACGTAGCTCCAAGCAGAGGAATACTTGTCACTGTTACTCATATGTATTCCCACCATATATCCCATTTATTCTGGATCAAGGGAGGAAGAGATGAATATTTAGATTCCAGCTTGTGCATGTGTTTAAGGAAAGTCTCATTTAAGGATTCTACTGCTGAAGTTCTTTCTGTTTCATGTGACCACTGGAAAAAAAAAAAATATGTGCCAGTTGTGTGCCATGCATGACTTCTCCTGGTGTAGGTGTTTCCTACAGTGAAGTGAGCTGTAGACACGGTCTTTGAATCAAAGCTGAGATTCCTGCCTTGTGTGTGCTGAACTCTGAGCTAAAGTTATCTTTTTGTTTTGGTCTGTGTATTTTGAATAAACAGAGGACTGATTGCTTAAAAAAAAAAAAAAAAAAAGAAGTCGTCTTGAAGACAAATATGGCTGAGAAATTTGTTGGCTTAGCACTAGTAAATCAAGCTGATGTGAGAGGGGTTAGGTATTTTATTTTATTGGTCTCTTAAACTACCTTTTATTACATGGATTATAATCAATGTTATCGGAAAGGTGTACGGTCCTGCAAACTAAATCTCAAAATGCAAGGGTCAAGGGGTAAGAGATCTTATCGACTGTTGTAATAGAAAATAACGATTGTCTTATAACTGGAGGCAACTGCTTTCCATGGAGATGTTGGAATCTGCTCTTTGGGTTGTGGCTACTTTGTGTGAATTGTCTTGCTTGAATGACTGCAAATGTGCAGTGCGTCATACCTCCTTTCTTCTCTGTCTGGGTGATGTAACTGTACGCCACGGTCTTAAATTTGGGCAACTGCCCTGTTTTCTTGCCCCCGCTCCCTCCCTTCTTAGTGAATAAACTCTATTGAATATGTCTTAGTATAGTTTTCAGAGAGAATAAATCAAATTTGTAGGTTGTAATTTAAAAAAAAAAAAAAAGATTTAAGCATTTAAGAACTTGGGTTGTATTTTGGAATGAGGCATCTAAAATGCCCAGGAGGATTTGAGCCTCAGGACTTCTCTCACTTGGAAAAGAGAGAGGTCTTACATGTGGTCATAAATTGCAGAGCTCCTCTGGACGTCTGCCCACAGGGTCAGCCTGTAGTCAGAGGTGTGTTTTCAAAAGGTCGTAGCTCCCACTGAGACACCACAGGGTAGAAGCTGAATTTTCAAGAGTGCCCCTTGTCTTCTGTAGGGAGAACTGAGCTCTGACCAGCTTTTAGAAGTTGTTTGTGAGTACTAGACTTGCTGTACAGAGGTGGCAGGAGTTTGTCCTGTTGCTTCATGGCTTTGCTGAGCAGTGAATTTATCTTAAGCCGAACTTCATTGCAGTGCTGAGAGTTTTAGGTGGTGAAACCTGCAGGACTAGACTGCGTTGCTTATAGAGAAAGTGATGTTCTCTATGAACTCAATGGAGGGTTTTTTTGCCTTTTTAGCTTTGCACAATATTTTGTTGTTAAACCTTTGGAAGAAACGAAAGCCAGCTTCAAATTGCATGGAGCAATTTTCTAAGGGCCTGATTGTTCACATCTTGGTTACAGTGAGGATATCTGTCGGCAAGACAGTGCAAGCAGCGTGGCCAGGGCCAGTTATCTGTCGTTAGGATTTGATTTTAATCAGGAGCTGAAGGCTTTGCTTAAAAAGCAGATCTGCCAAGAATGACTTGTTCAGTGGACAGAATACCAGCACTGGGGACAATGCTCTGTTTCTGCTTACGAATCAGATCAGACTGATCGGCGCTTGTCTTACAAATGTGATGCCAGACAAGAATGGTACGGAGTGATAGGACGAAGAATTTCATTAGATGGGAGAGAGATGCAAAAAACCAGGCCGGTTCAGTTTAGCAAATCAATAGAGCTTGATTTAACGTTCAGCGCACACAGAGCTTTTAAGGGGCAGCTGCCAAATAATTATTGTTTATGATCCCAATAGAAGCAAGTCATTTAATTTACAGACTGTTACATGATTATTTATTGGGTGACGTTAGTATTGCATCATGGTGACTGTGAGTATAATGTCAACTCATGTTATGTCCTCCCATGACATTATGGTGCAGTGCACTAGGATAGGGCTGCTCAAGCCAAATACTTGAGTTTGCAATAAAATGTATTGGCTCATGAAAGAATGGTGTGAGTGCGTGTGTGCCTGCAAGCTTCACCCTCCGCTCCCTCCTTCCCTGCAGGAAATCAAAGGAGTAAAATTGTAGTTACTTCAAGCTTTGCCATTAATTATATTTTTCTCATTACAAATCGGTGTGTAATTTGAATTGCAAACTCAACTATCCTGGCAGAATAGATCTGTTTACCATTCAAAGCAAAATGAAAATTATTTAAATTAGTTAATATAGAACTCATTTGAATGAATTGGATGTTTATTCATGAACTAGCTGAGGCAAGTGTGAAGCTGTCCTTATGGTCTGTAGCTTTGGCACTGATCAGCTCTAAAGTCACGTCCTGGGACAGAGATTTCTATTTTATTGCATATTAACTGTGGTGTAGACCAGTGGGTAGCTACTGCCTGATGTAGCTGAGTGTGAAATTTTCATCCTTTCTGACAAGGCCTTTCAGCAATTATAATTCATATGAGGAAGGACAACCTGCTTCAAAGTTCCTCGACAGTGGCAAGGCTGTGGCGGTATAGCAGGATTGGTTTTCTGCGCTGTAGGGGTGGGATATAACAGACTTCCCATCAGTTAGCTAAAATTTCCCCATAATATTAGCCTGCATGGAAACAGGGACAGCCTTTATCCCCTTCTGTGTCTTACCCAAGCACTGTCCTCCCCAGCACAGAGCCGACGCAGTTGTTTTTCAGCACGCTCCATCCCTTGGGACGTTTTACCCATTGAGCATTAAAAATTAAAGTCTAACTAAACTTTCCCTTACTAGCAGTTCCTTTAACTGTGAAAGGAAAGGAGGTCTCTTGCCTCCTTTAGCCTGTTATTTCCATGTGCTGTTTTCCTTTGTTGATGACAGTTGGGTTCATGAACACATTTACCATCGGGTAGAAGAGCAGTGTGGAGAACCTGACAAGCGTAGTAGCTAAATTATGCATTGTGAACCACGCGAAGAGCAGGAGCGTCTTTTGATTGACACTTGGGTGTTTTTGTACAGATTGCAGATTTACAGCTGAGCCAACAGAGCCGAATCTCTCCTGGCACTATCTTAATGCATTCTGGGATGCGCTAAAGACACTGGATGACAAGATTATTGTGTACACTTGTAATTGCCACGGTGGTTCTGCTTTAATGTTATTGACAGATGGAAATTCAAATAGGGCATTTCTGTGTGCAGATCCACTCAGTGAGCTCGAGTCTGCTTGCTGTGTAAACCAGAAGACAGAGGAGACTGGAGATGTAGAGAAATACAGTGGAGAGAGAACCAGGTCTATATTTTGATTTTACGGTGAACTGATACAGCTGGGAAAACCTCTGAACACCATCTACATGTGGATTTGGAGATCAGGATGATCAGTTGTACTGCGATTATGTGTTGCAAAGCAGCCTTTACTTCTCTGTTACATCAGTGTAAGGAGGATTAAAGCTGAAAAGCCTGATCCTGAGGTGATGTAAGTCCCTTCTGAATGGTGCTGAGCTTCATCAAGTGAAATATGCTACTAAAAGTCGTGGGCATAAACCGTTTTGCCTGCCTAGACTTTCTGTGAAGATGAACATCATCATTTGGTCACTATCTGAAATAGTTTTTTGCGTTTCACTCAGTTCAGGTTAACTTTTGTCCCAGATCCAGGCCAAAGGAGAGGAGTTGCACTCAGATTCAAAGTGCTGGGTCTGATTCTGGGCAGGGTGTGGGTGAAAAAAAGAGAGAAAACATGTGCCACAGCAAACAGATTTACTTTCAACTAATATATTTTTTTTTTTTTTACCCTTATCTGAATCTATCACAGAACCAAATTCTGCTGTTTGAGATCACTGATATAAGGGAGGGGAGAAGTGGATCTAGTTGGCCATGTCAAAACTTAAGACACAAGGACTTACTGGATTCTGCACTATGAAAAGCTGGTCAGCTGCATTGCACGGTTGATTGATGTGCAAGATGTCAGATAGATAAATATATGGATAGAAGAAATAAGTTAATTTTGAGCCAGTTTTTCCATTTTGTTAGCTCTAACATGAAATCATCGATGGATGTAGTGGTTACAACGGATGCTGAGACTGGACTACAGCAGAAAGTAGTGGGATTGAGAGAAAATGAGGCGCAGGGGCTGGGAACAGGAGCAGTGAGAGGATAAGGTGAGACAGGAGCAAAGAGAAGAGCAAGCCTTGAGCAATCATTTCCTGCTCGGGGTGTGGATTTGGCGTCAGTCAGGAATCCCTAGGTGTGCCAGGAGGCT